AGGGGTTGTTTCTGCTACAGTAGAAAGTTTGCCTTTTTTTTTTGGTACCGGGGATTGAACTCAGGACCTTGTGATTTCGAGGCAGGTGGTGGCACCACTGAGCTAAATCCCCAGCCCTTGGTACAGTAGAAAGTGTTCCACGTGGGGAATGTGGTCAGCCTGGAAGCTTCACATCTCCTGTGCCAGGGCCATTTTGAGCACATAGGAAAGCGATGAAAACACCACTGTGCAGACTTCTGAACACCCTCTCCCAACCCCAGCCCAGAGCTAAATGCATTCTGCTCAGAGCTGTCCATAAACAGCCTCTGCTCGGGTGACCTATCGAAGATGGGATCAGCCTCTGGAGGCGGGTGGAAGGCCGGGGCAAGAGGACCCTGTCTAGAACCTCACCAGCTTTGCTGCCCTCCCTTTAAGACCTCCCAAGGCTGCTCCAGCTTCCTCTGCAGCTGATCCTCCACCCTCCAGACAGCTGGGTTTTTGTTTGGAGTAATTTTTAAACCTTAACTCCACCTTCAGGGCCCAGTCCACAGGGGTCTTCTCTTTCAAGAGATCAAGGATGAGGCTGTCCTTTCTGTACTCCTGTAGGTCTCCTAGTTAATTCTTTGATTGATTGGTTGGTGCTGGGATTGAAGCCAGGACCTTGTGCATGCTAGATAAGAACTTTCCCACTGAGGTATATACCCTAGCCCTCCTCATATGAGAGGAAGGGAATGACAGGGAGACTGAATCCCCACGGTGTATGTGCTGACTTTTTAATTGTCCTAATTTGAGGGTGGATAAGATTTGTTATTTCTTTTATTGATTGATTTTTGGTACCAGGGATCGAACTCAGGACCTTGCGCTTGCCAGGCAGGTGTGGTGCCACTGAGCTACATCCCCAGGCTTGGTATCTCTTTTAGAGATGAGGGAAGCTGAGGCCCAGAAGGGTTAAATGACCTGTCCAGCATTACACAGCTAATGAGACACATATAAGCACAGTGGTCAGGACATTTGGAACTCAAAATCCATTCTGTCTCCCTTCTCTGGGAGTTTAATTAGATTGCTCTAGTCAGGGTCCTCATGTAAGGGCAGGGGCAGGGTGAACTGGCTTCCTCTCTGACCCCTTTTCATTGCCCTTACCAGAGCTAGCCAGGCCACGGCGTGGACACACTCCCAGGCCACTGTGGCCCCAGCCCCGCCTGACAGGATGAGCAGCTCAGATGCGGGGCTGGAGGAGGAGCCAGAGCTTAGCATCACCCTCACACTGCGGATGCTGATGCATGGGAAGGTGAGTGGGAGGGGCTGGGAGGGCCCAGCCAGTGCAGATTTGGTGGACCTCTGCTGGCGGGGGTGGGGGGGGTGGGGGGTGCTGGGGGGTGCGGGGGGATCGGTGTCCATCTGACTCCACTTTCATCTTGTTTTCAGGAAGTGGGCAGCATAATCGGGAAGGTAGGTATCCAGTTCTGCCTGGTGTGTTCCCCTCAGCCCAGGCTACCAGGTGGTGACCACTGAGGCTAAGAGTGATTCTCTGTTTTGCCTCCTACAGAAGGGAGAGACTGTCAAGAGAATCAGGGAGCAGGTGAGGAAGGAGTTTGGGGGAGGAGTCCAGGGTACCTGATGTGGAGGGAGGGGAGATACCTGAACCACTCCATTTGGGAAGAGCAGTGGATGTCTGAGAGGCTGGCAATTTCTAGCCTCTACTGAGGACTGGTGAGTGGGGAATGTGCCCTGCTACCTGGCACCCGATCTGTACCTGCAGAGCAGTGCCCGGATCACCATTTCCGAGGGGTCCTGCCCTGAGCGCATCACCACCATCACTGGTTCCACAGCGGCTGTCTTCCATGCAGTCTCCATGATTGCTTTCAAGCTGGATGAGGTTGGGGCTGGCAGGCTGGGAGTTCAAGGGTGGTTCCTGGGAGGAAGGGAGGAGTGTGTCTCTGATTCCAGATAGTGGCTATGGGTGGGAGGGGAGGTCAAGCCTAGGGTAGTGTTCCCTTGGAGGAGCAAGAGGAAGGGGTACCTGCCTAATTCCTCAGCCGGAAGGTACTTGAGGTGGGGTGGGAGAGGAGTAGGTGCATGTGACCAACCCACCATCTTCCTGCCCCAGGACCTTTGTGCTGCTCCTGCAAATGGGGGCAGTGTCTCTAGGCCTCCCGTGACTCTGCGCCTTGTCATCCCTGCCAGCCAGTGTGGCTCATTGATTGGGAAGGCTGGCACCAAGATCAAGGAGATCCGAGAGGTAAGGGGAGAGGGATGCCATCCATAGGGAGTTCCCCACCCTGTAGTTGTGGAAGACCCCTGTGCTTATGGCTTCATACCCCTGGTGGAATTCAGACTGGGAGCCCTTCTAGGGATTGTTGGAGCAGCCAGAAGTAGGCTCTGTTTTTCATTTGCAGACTACAGGTGCCCAGGTGCAGGTGGCAGGGGACCTGCTCCCCAATTCCACAGAGCGTGCCGTCACTGTGTCCGGGGTGCCTGATGCTATCATCTTGTGTGTTCGACAGATCTGCGCTGTTATTCTGGAGGTGCTACCCTGGGGCAAAGAGAGAGGGGGCAGGAGATGGGCCCTGTGCCACCAAGTGGGGTAGGGTGGGGCTGCAGGGATAGATTATGAGCTGTAGTGTGCGGGGGTGCATTTATCTAGGGGTCCTGCTGGGGGGCTTGAGGCTACTGGGCAGTTGGGCCTGAGAGGGTCCCAACAGCGCCTCCTCATTTGTGCCTTCCAGTCCCCACCCAAAGGAGCCACTATCCCATACCATCCGAGCCTCTCCCTAGGTACTGTCCTCCTCTCCGCCAACCAGGTGAGGGCACAGCAGGAGGGATAGAAAGCATTATAGGAGAAGGGGGGGCCGAGTTGAAGGAGGGGATAAAAGAAGAAATTGTGGTGAGGGGGAGGTATGACCCTGGTCAGCCTGCCCTGACCTGTCACAGTAACAGCCTCTCCACCTACTTTGTCCCCACAGGGCTTCTCTGTTCAGGGTCAGTATGGAGCTGTGACCCCTGCTGAGGTGAGTGAGCCACAGCCCAAGACCCCCATTTCTGTGCTAAGCCTCCTCTGACCTCTGACTCCTCTTCTTTGGCACAGGTCACCAAGCTCCAGCAGCTGTCGGGCCATGCGGTCCCCTTTGCCTCACCCAGTGTGGTGCCAGGTAAGCAGCCTGTGGAGGAGGAGGCAGGGGCAGACCCAAGAGGCTGGGAAGCCCCCCTCTGAAGGACATGGGGTTCAGAGAGGTTCAGTTCCTCTTCTTTGCCTCAGGACTGGATCCCAGTGCACAGACCAGCTCCCAGGAGTTTTTGGTTCCCAATGATGTGAGCAGGGGATGTGGTGGCTGGTGGGTTGTAGGGGAGGTGGGGCTCTGGGCCTTGCCTAGGGTCAACTTCTGCCTTCTCCCTAGCTGATTGGCTGCGTGATTGGGCGCCAGGGCAGCAAGATCAGCGAGATCCGCCAGATGTCAGGGGCACATATCAAGATCGGGAACCAAGCAGAGGGTGCTGGTGAGCGGCACGTAACCATCACTGGCTCGCCGGTCTCCATCGCCCTGGCCCAGTACCTCATTACTGCCTGGTGAGCATGGGTGGGCAATGGGGGGGGCACCCAACTGGGGAAGGGAGAACTCATCTCCTTTCTCCCTGGACTGGTCCCCTGCTGCCATGAACTCCCACATCTCCATGGTATTCTACCCAAGTCCCCCATATTGCTCCACCCTCATGTTCTCTTTCCCCATTGCTGTCTCTTTCCCCTGGGTCTTTGGCCCCAGCCCCATTTCTCCTCTCACCCCATACTATATCTGCTTATCCTTCCTCCCTCCTCACATTTCCACCTTTCCTATCTTACCCCTAAGCACATCTACCCCATTATTGCTCTCAGTTCCTCTGTTTTTGGCTAATCTCAAGCTGTTTATCTTCCCTCATTGCCTCTGTCTCATCCCATCTCCCCTTCATCTTCCCTCTATATCCCTTTTTCCAGTCTAGAGACGGCCAAGTCTACCTCTGGGGGGACGCCCGGCTCGGCCCCCGCAGACCTGCCTGCTCCCTTCTCGCCACCCCTGACGGCCTTGCCCACAGCTCCCCCAGGCCTGCTGGGCACACCCTATGCCATCTCCCTCTCCAACTTCATCGGCCTCAAGCCTGTGCCCTTCTTGGCTCTACCACCTGCTTCCCCAGGGCCACCACCGGGCTTGGCGGCCTACACTGCCAAGATGGCAGCGGCCAATGGGAGCAAGAAAGCTGAGCGGCAGAAATTCTCCCCCTACTGAGGCCAGCTGAGGTACAGGCTGGGGCAGGCAGGACCTCCGGCAGGGTCTGCCTCCGCATCCTACCTGTCCAGGGAGACTCCACCCTGGGGTCCCAAATGCAGCCGCTAACGCCAGGCGCATGGATACATCCCCCACCCTGTCCCCCACCTTTGGAGTTCCTACTCTCAGAGAAGGGGCAGTTTCTGGGCCAGGGTTCTGGGAGCTGCAGTAGTCCTAGGCCAGAGGGCCCTACCTTCAGCTCTAGGAGCAGCCAGGGGCCTCCCTAGTGCCCCACCATGGGGGTGCGGGTGTCCATGTATTCTCCATCCCTTGGGGCCTCCCACCTACTGCCCCCCTGTGGGAATCAGGGAGGGCTAAGGGTGGCTGGGCCAAGCTTCTCTCCACCTCCCTGCAGATTCCCGCTGCTTCCATGGATAATACTTTTTGACTGGAATGGACTGGCTGGGATTGTCAGGGGCACCCCCAAGAGGGGGCTCTGCTGGGTGGCTGGGGGAGTGGCTTGGGGGGCAGGGGCCCAAGCAGCAGACACTCTGTACAGTTTTTTCAATCCCTGTTTTTGAATAAATATTCTCAGCGACCAGAAAGGTGTGAAATACTGGTGTCGGGATGGTAAAACCTGCAGAAAATGGGTGCAGTGGAAGCTGCACCTGTGGATCCACTAGCCCTGCTTGGGCTTCAGCCCCATCCACACACCAGTTCTCAGGTTTCAGGGCCCTTTGGGGTTGCCCAGGCTTCTGCTTCTAGCATCAGACAGGTCCAGTTGTCTTCTGGACATTGTAAAAGTAGATAGAAGAGCAGTAGCTTTGTCCAGCCTCTCCCTGGTTCAGATATCAGGGAAGTCCTTCTGAGTGTTTCTCCCCTGGTTCCTCCTTCTGTGGATATACCTCACACCCTTCGCTGCTTGGCCCATCACTTTAGCTGTGGACCTTTTGTCTGTGGGCCCTGCCACCTTCTGTGCTCCCTGGACTTGGGGACCATCCATGAGTTTCACAACCTGTGCTGGAGGGGCCCTCAGAAATGGTTCAGGGTACAGATGGGGAAACAGGTCTCAGGAGAGTAGGTTGTGCACAAGGCCATGCCATGTTTGGCCCAGAACCCAGGATTCCTAAGAAGTCTCTGGGCCTTGCCAGACTGCAGACAAAATCCCATTTCAGAGCCAAAAGTCCAGGCTGAACACCTGCTGCCACCCATGCAGGAGGTGGGATAGGTCTCCTCTGATAGCACCGTCCTTTCTCCAGTCAAGAGAGGGAGCTCTCAAGTGGTCTCTGGTAGGCTCAGGCTGGGTCCTCCTGCCAATTCGCGGGCCTGCTGGGGTGCCGCAGAAGGGCCTAGGGCAGGGCCATCTGGGGGTCCTTTGAGGCGCTGCAGAAGGGCTCGAGGGTACCAGGCTTTTGGCACCCGGGGCAGAGCACGGCGGGTAAGGCGGCCCAGCGCCAAACGCACAGGGCGCTGCAGCAAGCCGTACAGGAAGGGGTGAGCGGCAAAGGCCGAGTAGGCCACCCAGGTGACAGCTGCCTCGGCCTCTGCGGCCCGCGCCGCGGGTGCCAGACACGCGCAGCCATAAGGCAGCCAGCAAGCTGCAAACTGGCCCACGGCCAGAGCTGGGGCCAGGGCCGCCTTGCCCTTAGGCAGGCGAGGCCGGAGGGTCGGCAAGAAGGAGAGGCGGCTGTCCAGAGAGTCTGAGCGCAGCCGGGCGCCGCGCGCAGGCAGCGGGGGACGCAGGGCGGCCCGGCGCGCCACGAGGAAGATGCTGCCATAGGCGCCGAGCAGCAGGAGCGCTGGCAGCGCGAAGACCAGCAGCGCCCAGAGCGGCCGGAAGGGTCCAAGACCCCCGACCAGGACAGAGCAGCGCGCCGGCGCTGGGGGCGGCGCGGGCGGTGGCCCAAGCAAGGACAGCGCACCCAGGAGCCCGGCGGTGGCCCACACGGCCGTGAGCACAAGTCCGGGCGCCGGCCGCCCGCCTGGCCGTAGCGGATGTGCGATGAAGCGATAGCGCGCCAGGCCAAGCGCGGCCACACCGAGCGTGCATGCGGGCAGCAGCGCCGCGGAGAGGAACCGTGCGGCACGGCACGGCGCGGGGCCCAGGCGCACGTGGCCCAGCCCGGGAGGGGGCGCGGCCAGCAGGCCCAGCGGCATGATGGAGGCGGCCGCTAGCAGGTCCACTACGCACAGGTGCACCAGGTAGAGCGCGTCTTGCAGTCCTGGAGTGCGCAGCACCACGACGAGCAGTGCCCCGTTGCCCAGCAGGGCCCCCACCTCCACGAGAACAGCCAGGATCAAGCCTACCGAGCCTGCGAGTTCGGTGACGGTGACGATCAGCACTGTGGTGTTGGCCATTGGAGTGCTCAGGCTTCACCTGTGGTGATACGCAGAGGGTGGACGGGATCCTTCAGCGCCTCACTTCCCATTACCTGTCCCTTGCTCCTCTGGCCCCTCACCTCATAGGCTGCCCAGGAGGGGACTCCAACACTCGGGCTACCATTCTCTTGGGGGCTTGGCTGGTGCCTTGGAGAGTGAAAGTCTGAGCCTGCCGGCGCTCTCCCCTTGCCCCAGCCCGGCTCCAGCAACTCAGCCTCTGTCGGAGATGGTACTGGCTGTCACTCTGATGTTGTCCTTTGGAGACACACGGAGCTGGCAAGGGAGGGGCAGGGCCTGGCGCCAGCCCCCTGGGTCCTAGCAGCTGCCAGCTAGAGGCTGGAGGCACTGCTGTACGGGGGTGGGCAGAGCAGGTGCCAGGCTGGAGCTGAGACTGAGGGAGTTACAGTGTCCCTTTGGAGCCAGCCAGGCCCTGTCCTGCCTTTCCCAGAGTGGGATGTATGTGTGCAGGGGTGATCGGACCAGTTAGCTCAAACTGGTTAGAAGGAGCAGGAAGACCCTTAGGTATAATCTGGGCCTCAGGAGGAGTGCTGTCCTGGAAGGAAAATCCCAGGGCATGGCACATAGTAGGTGCTTGGCCAATATTAACTTGAGGCAGAATGGGTGTCCGTGACAGTGAGAGGAATAAATGAGAGGAAGTCTTAGCAGACAACTGCTAGTTGTTTGTTTTTACTGATAGCAAACAAGCCCTCTTATGATAAAATTACCCTGAATTTTCTTTAGAAACCACCCCTCCCCAATTCTCAGGACTTGCAGTGTGAGTAAGCAAGATCTCCACCCTCTGTTTTCCCCAGGAGGCACAAAAGTCAGTCCTGGCCAATCAGTGTGTGGTATCTCAAAGTGGCTGGCTCAGGGAAAGATGGGTAACTCTAGTTTCATGGCAAAACCCCATCTATGCCCTGGTATCTTGCATATGGATCTGAAGTTCTTCTTTCTCAAACCCCAGGCTTGAGTCTTCAGCTGCCTCCTCAATATCTCCACTAGGACTGACCTAATGGGCATCTCAAACTTCCTATTTCAAAACAGAACCATGACTCCTGACCCCTTCTCAACCTGCTCCTCCTAGAGTCTCCATCTTAGCAAATTTCTCAGGATAAATGCCTCCCTTTCCACTGCACCCATATGCAACCCATCAGTGTATCCAAAATCCAGCAATTTCTCACCAGCAGCCCCAATACCCAGGCTTCTGCCCTCACCACCTCTCATCTGACCATTGCAGCCCCCTTCTAACTGATCTCCTGGCCTCTGCTCCTTCACCTTATGCTGGCCATCTGCCTGTTTGCCCTCAGATCTGTTCCCTTTTCCTTGCTCCTCTGGCCCCTTACCTCATAGGCTACCCAGGAAAGGGCTCTGACGCCCAGGCTGCCATCCTCTGCTCTTGTACCTTATTCTGGGCATCTGCACTCCCAGCACTGCCTCCATGGGAACTATACTTGCCTGGCTTCTTTGGGAGTGTGCATTGAGTGGACATTACTAACAGAAGACAGGAGAATGGAAGGAGGAAGTCTCATGCCCCACCTGGGACTCCAGATCCCCCTGTAGAAGACCCTTTCTCCCCACAGCCCTGACTACTTTCAGATAGCCTCCTGTGGGTCTGGTTCCTGCAAAGTGATCCTGGGAGAAGCACTCATCAGAACAGTGTTTCCTTCCGGTAACCTTCTACCCTGTATGATGGTGGTGCTTCTTGCTGTTTCTCATTTTTGGATTGCCTCATCATCTCTTCGTAGCTCAGTTTCCCCCCTGTATCAGATTCCCCTTGTCTGGTTACCTTGAGTAATTTGTTTCAGTTGGCTAGATCTTGACTGATACCCTCCTATCTTCTCTTGACCCAGCAGCTGAAGCGGGTCCCTCTTAAAACAATCAGATGGGGCCACGACTGCTCCTGTTCCTCCAAGAGCTCCCCATCACCTGAAATCTCAGCTCCTCTGTGCCATGGGGTGGCCTCTGTTATCTGCCTTCTCCCCATATCTCTGCCTCCCTTCCTCCTCCTTTTTTTCCACACACCCAGCCACAGCAATCATCTTCCTGTTCTCCTCACCCGTCAGAGCACTTTCCACTTCTGGATCTTTGCACTTGCTGTTTCCTCTGGAGAGGCCTTGACTGATCATCATTAACATTATTCCATCTTCCTGGCACTCTTTTACCTTAGCTTTCTTCCTGGCACTTTCCTTACCTGATATTACATTTCCTATTTATGCGTATGTTGGTTGTGAGCCTGTTTTACTAGAATGCAGAAGCAGGGAACTTGGCTGAGTCTTCCTCAAACACATGCCCGCCCCAATCCATCACAGGCATATGGCCAGCATCACTGCAGATCCAGATGGTAGAGATCAGCCATGAACTGCCTAGTTTGACTTTTTGTGCTGAAATTTGGCAGGTCCCTGTCCAGTTTTCCATTATCCGGATGAGAAGGCTGAAGCCCAGAGAGTGGAGGAATATGCCCCAGAGCACACAGCTGGAGCCCCGGCACCAGCCTCTTAGAGTTCTGTCCACAAGGCCTGCAGGCCTGAGGAGAGCTCAGCTGGACTAGGTGGGAGCAGCAAATGAGAAAAAAGGATTAGAAAAGGCAAGTGGTGGAGTCGATGGTGGGCTAGAGAGTGCTGCTCCCTCCAAAATCACTAGAATGAATTAAAAATGAAAACATTTTGGAATGACTGAGTGAGCATTCATGTATCTGTGTGTGTCTATGAAACTTGCAAAACAAATACAAGAAGAAGGCCAAGTGTGGTGAGACACACTGGTAATCCCAGCACCCTGAGAGGCTGAGGCAGGAGGATTGCAAATTGAATCCCAACTTGAGGAGTTTATCGAGATCCTGTCTCAAAATTAAAAAAAAAAAAAAAAGAGCTGGGGATGTAGCTCAGTGTGAAAGCCTGGGTTCAATCCTCAGCACTGGGGGTAAAAAACAGGAAGGATAAACCCAAAACAAATAAAACTGGAAGAGAGTGAGAGGGCCAGGAGGACTCTTCTGAACACACGCTGTACAGTCTGAATCCTCTGGAGCTATATTAGTGTTATATTCATTACAGATTGAAATCCATAAATTAATAAGGGTGAAGAACACTTCTTGAATGTATCAATAGAGACAAATGAACCTACCTGTATTGCAAATGAATAACAGAACCACATTGAAGAGAAACAAAGAACAATTTCAAGAAACACATTCAAGCAACATTTGAATCTATTCACTTATTTTGACCCTCAGCCTAAAGAGAAAAAGATAATCTTGAATAAGGTTAAGTAAATCTTGAGCTCTGTTTAGAAAGCTTTTTATTTTTTATTTTTATTTTTTGGTACCAGGGATTGAACTCGGGTCCTTGGGCTTCAGCAGCAGGTGGCAAAACCACTGAGCTAAATCCCCGGCCCAGAAAGTTCATTTTTTACAATGATATGAGTATAGGAATTCTGAAACTCATTTTTGTGTGGGATAAGGCAAATACATTGATATTGATACTGATGGGAACCCAGGTGCTTACTGTTTGAGAAGGGAGGAAATATGGGATTGGGGAAGAATGGAAGAAATCTGTGGTGCTTGATTAGAATTGGAGAAATAGATATAGATAGACGTCTGTTTATTATTTAGCTACATATACCCTACTTCCTAGCCCCAATATTGGATTCTAAACACTATTTCCTGCCCCAAGGAGCCAAGGCTCCTTGGAAATGGCTGATTCCAGATTTGTACAACATGAACTTGGAATATCTTGTTTTGTCAGAAAGTAAGGAGGTACTCAAAAGAAGAAAAATGACAGGGATACACAAAGGGACCTTCTGCTGGCTAAATCTGAGACAATCTGAGAATCACAATATGTAATGACAATCATGGATTATAACCCACTGAATAAAATAAAGATCCATATGATAATAATATACATATGTATAAATATATAGAATATGTGTAGATATAAAAGAAATGATGGAGCTCAGTCACTACCATTTACAACCATCTTAGCGGAACTTATTCAGGTAATTTGTTTCAGGTAAATATTAATAGATGTTAAAACTTGTGGGTGAAAGTTGATGAGGAATGAGGAATTCATAGTTTACAACGTGTCCCCTGGTTAATTAAAAAGGGGAGAAATGGTAGCTTTACCATGGAAAAACCTGCTAGACATCAATTCAATGGCGTGATCAAATCTAATTAACATCTCCAAGAATGGGACACAACCCTCCAGGTATAACACACCCAGGGCACATCGTCCATGTAGTGCTCCCAGACATACAAAGCCTGAATCTGATCATGACAAAATAGTAGACAAGCTGAAATTGAGAGACATTATATACAACAACTGGCCAGTACTCTTCAAAAATGTGAAGAATATGACCAGGGGTGATGCTACATTCCTGTAATCAAGCTCAGCTACTTAGGAAGCGGAGGTAGGAGAAATGCAAGTTCAAAGTCAGCTTGGGCAATTTACTTAGTCTCTCAAAGTAAAATTTTAAAAAGGTGGGGTGGGGGCCGCCTAGGAGGTAGCTCAGTGCTCCCTGGGTTCAATCCCCAATACAAAAAAAAAAGTGCCAAAAAAATGTCAGTTATAAAAGAAAAAAAAATGGCTGAGGTAGATTTTCAGATTAAAGGAGATAACAGAGGAGTTACAATAGCTAAATGCAGTGGGTGACCATAGACTGGATCCTGGCCTGCTCTGTAGTACATGCATCTCCTGACTGTGGACAGGGTTACATGGTGTGTTAGCTTTTCTTCACTGGGACAAAATGTGTGACATTCACAATTAAAGGAGGAGAGGTTTATTCTGGCTCATGGCTCATGGCTCAGGGTTCAGTTCATGGTCACCTGGCTCTAAGGCAGAAACATCATGGCAGAAGGGCATCACACAGCCAGGAATCAGACAGCAGAGGAAGAAGCCAGGGAGGAAGGGGCAGACTGGATACTCTTCAAAGACATGCCCCCAGTGACCTATTTCTTCCAATTAGGCCAGCCTTTTATCGGCCCACTCATCTGTGAACTCATCAGTGGATTAATCTGCTACTGCCCATAATCCCATCACCTTCTAAAGCCCCACTTCTGAACATAATAGCCTTCCAGGGAACATCTTTCAAATCTAAACCATAACCCATGGGGCGATAATTGGCATCCTTTCCTGGTGCCAGACTTGTGCCCATTGATAGATGCTTGTTTATTTATTTATTTTTTTTTCTGAGTCAGGGTCTTGCTGTGTAGTGCAGGCTGGCCTTGAACTCATTATGTAGCCCAGGCTGGCCTTGAACTTGGGGTGATCCTCCTGCCTCTGCCTCCCTAGTTCTGGGATTACAGGCGTGCACCACCATGCCTGGCTCTTAACTTGTTTCTAACAGACATGAGGTGTACAGGGATATTTAGCACCAAAACACGATTCTCCTGGCAATGTATAGGTTAGAGTAGAGAACTACCAGGTGGGTCCCCAAATGATAAACAGTTGAGTTGACAGTGACAGGCTCTTTTGCGCCTCAATTATTAGCGCAGGACATTGCAGTGATGGTCCTGGGTGGGCATGTATGTGTGTGCATGTGGTTCATATCCAC